GAACTTGAATAGGTAAATATTGATGGTAATATCATAAATAAAAAAGGGGTTGGTCATTATGTTGATGAATTGGAGATAGGAAAATTGGGAAGATTGACATATGGCATCAATTATTAATAATTATCTATCGATTAGGCATACCAAAGATTGGTTGATGAGGGATAGTTGGCATATGATCATTATGATAAAAGGGGAGAGCTGATGCATTATCATCAAATTTTGTCTTTATTATTATTAATTTATTATATTTTATAATTAATAAAATTTAATTTTTTATAATATCATAAATTTTTTATATATATTTATTTTAAATTATTTTATATTTCGAACAATAATGATTCGAACACGAACGAACGCATCACTGTTCGTGTTTGGTTCGTTTAACTAACCGAACAAAAAAAAATTGTGTTCGCAAACAATAAGGTTTTTTGGCAGCCCTAGTGGTAATAACTGATTTGAGTGGTATAAATATAAAAAATAGAGTGGTAATAACTGATTTGAGTGGTATAAATATAAAAAATAGAGTGAATAAGAATTGGGAGGTATATATGTAAATGCCTCAAAAAAGTTATCAATACAACAATAAAGATAATTTAATATCTTAAAAATGTATGATGATCTTTGCTTATAAAATAATTTTATTAATGTTAGTGGAAGATTATAAAGGGTGTTATTTCCTCATAAGTGGACAAGTTATATTCTAATATAGTAGAGTTGAATCACACGAGACATTCATAAGTAAAAGTGGGTGAAAACTTGATTTGTTAGTGTTCTTATTGGGTGATAAGCATCTATTGATTTGGAATTCAAGAGTTAAGAGTATAATGAACTTATTCTCATAATAAAAAAGGGGTTGGGAACTTGAATAGGTAAATATTGATGGTAATATCATGAATAATGTGATGAAAGCTTAGTCACTTTGGTCATTATGTTGATGAATTGGAGATAAGAAAATTGGGAAGATTGACATATGACATCAAATATTAATAATTATCTATCAATTAGGCATACCAAAGATTAGTTGATGGGGGATAGTTGGCATATGATCATTATGATATAAGGGGAGAGCTGATGCATTATCATCAAATTTTGTCATTTCGCATGAATTTAGATATGTTTGACAAGAATTTTGAGGCATTTTTTAAAAATAAATATTCAAACATAAATTAAAAATCATGCATGACTTCGATTTCAACAAACTTAAAGCCAAACTGACTCACTCGACGAGATAAATCCAATGATATCAAAATTGATCAATTCTGCGTCAACTAAAGCCATTAAACCACTTTGTAGAGGATCTGTGTGGTTAATTGGAATGTTAAATAAACTCCAAATTTTACTGTCTATAGTTAAATCAAGCGTCCCTACGAGAGGAATCCAAGTTCACCTGATTTTGGGGCCTCTAAGGCCATCAAATAATTAAATAACCTTTTATGAACAAGAGGAATCGAAATTAGTCTTTCAATCGTGTGGTTAGGATGGTTATCGGTGAGCGACAAAAATGCCACTCTTCATAGCCTATAAATAGACCCCCTCTCTTCACTTAGAAGTGGGAAGAGGGGGGAGGAGGAATAGAATATCAGTGTTGTTCTAGACCAAAAACTAGGCAATAATTTTCGACCATCATAGTCGTTGACCATGTTGACCG